TCCATGCAAGCCCCGTTATGAACATACAACAACGTCAGGAGGATTGGATCTCAGATATCACCACCTTCATCTCCACAGGGCAGCTACCCGAGAATGAATCCCGCGCTAAACTGGCAAAGCTGAGGGCTCCTAGCTACACCATCGAAGATGGGAGGCTCTACAAACGATCTTACAATGGCACGCTACTTCGGTGCCTTCATCCAGATGAAGCCGAGGTCGCAATGGAGGAAGTGCACAGTGGCACTTGCTCAGCTCACCAGGGACCCTTCTCCATGTCCCGAAGGCTCATTCTCCAGGGCTACTTCTGGCCAACCATGGCCAGGGATTGTGCTGACCTCGCCCGGAGGTGCACCGCATGTCAACATTTCCAGAAAGCCCCCGGCAGGCCAGCGGTCAACTATGCCCCCATCAGCACATCTGTCCCTTTTTCTCGATGGGGGATAGACCTTGTGGGCCCTCTGCCGAGGGGTACCTCCAACAACAGGTACATCATTGTGGCCGTCGACTATTTTACCAAGTGAGTGGAGGCTGAACCCCTCGCCAGCATCACAGAGGCGAAGTGCCGTCACTTCGTCCTCAAGAACATCCTCACGAGGTTTGGCGTCCCTCAACAGATCATCTCCGACAATGGGACACAATTTGAGGCAGCCCCCTTCTGTTCCCTTCTGGAGGCATGGGGCATCAAACACACCTTCTCCTCCGTTGCCTACCCTCAAGGCAACGGGCAAGTAGAGAACGCCAACCGGACCTTGCTCGAAGGCCTCAAAAAGAAGCTAGAGGCTGAGGGCGGTGGCTGGGTGGAAGAACTCCACAACATCCTTTGGGCCTATCGCACCACCCCTCGGCGAGCAACAGGTGAAACACCTTTCTCCCTCTGCTACGGTTTTGAAGCCAAAGCTCCTACGGAAGTCACCCTTCCCACCCGAAGGGTGATCCAATATGACCCCGAGGTCAACGACAGCAACATGGCCCTCGACCTCCACCTCATTTCAGAACGTCGGGAGCAAGCCTTCATCCGGGCAGAAAACTACCGAAGGCAAGTTAAAAGCTACATCGACGCCAAAGTTCGCACCAGAGAATTCCAAGTGGGGGACTATGTCCTCCGGAGGAGGGAAGCCAGCCAACCAACCGAGGGAGGAAAAATGGCACCAAAATTCGAAGGCCCCTACATCATAGCAGCCATCATCAAACCCGGGACCTACAAGCTCAAACGCCCCAATGGGAAAGAAGTCCCTAGGCACTGGAATGTACACCATTTAGTTAAATTTTATCAATAATGTAAGAGCGGCCAAGCCCTCATAACTAGTGAATGTACTATCCTATGGCCCAAGGCCTCCAATTTCGAAGAATGAAGACACATTCAAGACATCAAGCCCTCATACTGACTACAGGCCCCAGGCCTCACCACGAGAAGAACCCCCTCCGGCACCAAGTGCCGAGGGCGGACACCATCAACACCTACAACAAACAGTGAAAACACCACGTGTTTCCAGTCAAGACCCCTCGGCACCCAGTGCCGAGGGAGGAAACTCCTATCACCAACAACAAGGAACGCCATGTGTTTCATTTCCCTTCGGCACCCAGTGTCGAGGGTACATTCCCACCTTCAACATCAAAAAAGAAGAGATGAGAACACCAAGTGTTCCTACAGAAGACCCTTCGGCACCCAGTGCCGAGGGTACACCTCCATCATCAAACATCGAAACGAAAAAAAAACACCAAATGTTTCAAAGAAGACCCCTCGGCACCCAGTGCCAGGGATATGCTCTCCTATCAACTTCCAAACATCTGTTGGGAAACATCAAGTGTTTCATTTGAAGACCCTTCGGTACCAAGTACCGAGGTTAGACACCTCCATCAACTACAACAAAGAGAACACCAAGTGTTCCTACACTAGACCCCTCGGTACCAAGTACCGGGGGCTACACATCGAAACTAACACCAAGTGTTGTTTCTAAAAGCCGTACCCCACGAGGACGCATATACCGAAGGCGCCACCATCGGTGCCGGCGGCACGTAGTGCCCCCGGCCATTTTCAACTACTGTGCAAATGAAAACCCTTCCTTGAAACGCTTTCCGCGTCACTACCCCCAGGGTATGACAGGCATGAGAAATGCCCAGGATTCGACTTTCAAAAATGGAACGCTATCCGCGTCACTACCCCCAGGGTATGACAGGCATGAGAAATGCCCAGGATTCGACTTCCAAACCGAAACGCTCCCCGCGCCACCACCCCAAGGGTGTGGCAGGCCACGGACTATGTCTAGCGCCGAGGGGACGACTTTCAAAAATGAGGCGCTTTCCGCGCCATCCCCCAAGGAGAGGCAGGTTACGGACCACCATATCTTGTGCCCAGGAAACGTCCCTCGATCCCCTCGGAAGTCGGAAGGTTAACCCGAGGGAGGAGAGCCATTGGTGTATTCTGATGGTCTCCTAATAGGCCCAGCCTTACCAAGAAACCAAGTTTCTTGATGCCTTCCCTTCAGCACCAACCAAAAAAAAAAAAAAAAAAAAGGGGGGGTGAAGGGGAGTAGACTCACCGAGAAATCAAAGAGTACACTCCAACAGATCACAACAAGCCGAGGGCTCCCCACGGGAACACCTCCGGTAACTGAAGGCTCCTATTTCCCGAAGGATACTACTCAAATAAATATCATCAGGAAACGGCTAAGTCCACTACCTGGTCACCTCCGGTCACAAAAACACCGAAGGCTTCAACAATACAAAGGGACTGGACTATCGAAGGCATCTGTTATGCACGAATACCGAGGGCCCTTTCCCCATGACAAGGGTCAAATTCTACAACTTTTAAAGTGTATGCCGAGGGCACACACTCCTCATTGGCTTTCTTCACAACAACAGGACTCAACATCAATTTATGCTTAGAAAAAATTCTAAGTCCTGAAGGAGCGGCCCCCGGGCATCTCGCAAAGTAATGTAGAGTCAGCAGGCACCTATCACCGGAAGACTACACAAAGAAACAACACTTGAAAAATTCCAAGTCCTAAAATTGGGCCCCCGGCTCAATCAACACTACAGCCAGGGGAATACAATAGCCGAAGGCTATGCGATACAACAACACTTGCAAACAAAGAAAATTTCTATGTCCTAAAGATGGGCCCCCGGCTCAGTCAGTATTGCAACTAGAGGAATATGACAGTCGAAGGCCATACATCAAGAAGGGATGCCATCTCCCGAAGGCTCCCAAGGGAAAATCCACACTTAGAATGTTTTCTAAGTACTACATGCTTTTCCCCGGTCAACTACTTATACATCAAGGAGGGATGCCATCTCCCGAAGGCTCCCAAAGGAGATTTTGCACTTAGAAGATTTTCTAAGTCCCACATATTTTCCCCCCCTGACAGCTACTCATACATCATGAAGGGATGCCATCTCCCGAAGGCTCCCAAGGGAAACTCTACACTTAGAAGATTTTCTAAGTCCTGCATATTTTTCCCCCCGGTCAACTACTCATACATCATGAAGGGATGCCATCTCCCGAATGCTCCCAAGGGAAACTCTACACTTAGAAGATTTTCTAAGTCCTACATATTTCACCCTCACCTCAAGGGACCTAATTGCCGAAGGCTGCCTATCAATCGAGGGCTACAGTACACAAGGAATCAACACTCAAGAAAATTTTCTTAGTCCTAAAGAATTGGCCCCCGGCCTATTCAATATTTCAGTTGGGGCTCCACAGTAGCCGAAGGCTACATGGCATACTACACTTGCAAAAAATCTCTAAGTCCTGTGCATTGGGCCCTCGGTCCAACATTCACACATCAGGAAGGGACGCCGTATCCCGAAGGCTCTCAAGGGGGAATCTACACTTAGAAAATTTTTCTAAGTCCTAGGAATTGGGCTACCACAAACACCCGAAGGCCCCATGCTGTGCTACACTTAGAAAGATTTTCTAAGTCCTAATTCCTGCTGAACCCTCGGTTGCATATCCAGCAGAGGGTGCCCAACTACTGAAGGCTTCCAAGGGCAAGTTGCAATCGAAAAATATTCTAAGTCCTAAAACATACATTCAAGAAGTAGGAGGCATACATTCAAAACATAAGGCGCATTCAAATGTAAAAAGCCCGGGGGCAGCATGCATTCATCAAAAACAGAGTAAGTGTGAAATTTACAAACAGGCCGAAGCCGAAGGATCAAAGTTGTTCATTACAAAATATGTTCAAGGATTTTTAAATACAAAGTCACTCTACAACTACAACAGCATCATTCACCGGGGCGCCCTCTGCAGCCGGCCTCGATGATGCCTCCGCTCCGGTCTCGACAGCGTCGTCCTCGGCCTCATTCTTCAACTCCGTGTCCTCAAGGTCGGGCCTCTGAACACCTTCCGGGAGCGACTCACGGACATCAGGCTGCAGGGGAGGAAGGCCATACGCCGAGGGGGAGAAGTCCTTTTGCTCAATGCCCAAATGTCGGGCCATCCTCCGGTAGATGAGGGCCTGGGTGAAGAATTCGCCGGCTTCATAGTACTCTCTGCCCTTCCGGGCCATCCATTCCCACCCGGGGCCCTCGGCCCATTCCTCGACGTGTGCCTCCACAACCGAGGACAGCCACATCTTGCGTCCCTCAGCCCTCCAGCCCTCGGCGACGAAGGCATCAACGGCTTCATCCCGAGCCTTGGCGACGGCCAGCGCCTTGGAGTCCTCGGCCTCTTTGGCAGCCCTCCTGGCCTCCTCAGCAGCGGCCTCAGCGTCGGCCTTGCCCTTCTCTGCGGCCTCCAATCTCTGCTCCATTTGCCGAAGCTCCTCTTCCAGCCTGGCCCCCAGCTTCACCGCCTCTTTATTTTTGAGGATGCATTCTTTCATCTTGGCATCCTGCTCGGCTTTATGGAGGCGCCATTCTTGAAGCCTCCGGGCATGTTCACCGAGGGCTAGACAAGCCTGCAGACCAACAACCAAAATGGTTAAAAACAATTGCACAATATAATCAAAGGAGAAAAAGAGGAAAGCTGAGTAAACACTTACAGAAAGAGAGGAGCGGAGGATGTGGTCCTCGAGGGCCGCATCGTTATAAGCCCCGAGGGCAGCCCTATCAGTCTCAGGGGTTATGCCCCTCAAGATGGCCCCCGGGTCGACAGCGCCGCTGGCCAGGGATGTCCCCCTCGGGAATGAGACTTGGAGGACCTCAGGCAGCAACTCCTCTGCCCCCGCCGGCGTTTCACCCGACGGCTTCTCCACATGCACCCCGGAGGCGGGGTGCTCATCAGCGATAATGACCGGGGGCTCCTTCTCGGCGACATCCCCCTTCTTCGGCTTTTTGGTAGCCGGGGGGACCCCTTGGTCGCTGCCTTCCTCTTGCCGGCAGCGGCATCGCCCTCAGCTTTCTTAAAGAGGGCAGTGGCGGGCTTCTGGCTGCCCTGTCCCGACCCCTTCGGGTCCTGTTTCTTCAGACGAGCAAGGCCCTTTACGTTCACCATAGAGACGGGGATACCTGCACAAAGGAGACAAAGGGTTAGTCCGACGGGTCTAAGCGAAGGGACAATAACATCCAAGCAAAAAAAAACTAAGTGCAAAATTCTAAAGCCCTCGGCTCCTACCTCCGGCCCCTCCGAAGGCCTTGTTGAAGGGAGGGTACTTTTCATCGGTCTCCCCTATGAAGCGGTACCTCCGGAACCCAAGGGTGTATAAATCCTCCTCGAGGGTGCAGTCTTTGATCGCCACGTTCTTATTTTTCCCCTCCGGGAACTTGGCCAGCTTTAGGCCGTCTTTCTCGAGAGCGGCACTCCTGATCTTTTCGTGCCTTCGGAATCGATCACGCAGCTCCCTCGGGAATGGGCTCTCATCCAACTTTACGTAGCACCAACGTTCCCTCCATCCTTTGTTGGAAGAAGGAGCATCGGAGAATAGTTTGAAGCGGGCAATCTGCTGCAGGTTGGCGTACCCCTCGCCGTTTTCGTGCCCCCCCCCCCCCCCCCCCCCGGCACAAATTAAAGCTCTGGAAGAATAGATCCAGGCTGGGCTTCACCCCTCCGGACTTGCAGAGCTGGAGGAACCCCGCAATGTAGGAGTGGCTGTTGGGCGTGAGTTGGCAGGGGACCAGGCCAACAAACCTCAAATATTCCCGGAGGAATGGGTGCAGAGGGAACCTAAGTCCCATGGAAACCGAAAGGACGTGAATAGCGATACACCCCTCGGGCGCCCTGGATAACACGTCGTCGGGACCTGGCTCCACCACTTCGGCCGAGGGCCCCACGTGCAGCTGAGTCACGTACAGATCTGCCCTATCAGCCTTCGACCTGATCTCGAGGGCCTCAGTGTTCAGCCAACTGTACCCCTCGGGCATGTCCACGGGCTTTCCTTGATCGACGGCCCTCTCCTTCTTCTTGGTAGCGGCCTTCTTCTTCTTCAAACCGGAAACCGCCCTCAGAGGTATCGGATCCAGCGGCCTCGAGCTACTGGCTTCCCCAGAACCCCGAGGGGGGAGAATAGCTATCGTAACCTTCGAGCTCTCATTCTGCGCCTCATCATCCGCTGTTTGCCATGCGAGGGCTAAGTCTTCATCCTCGCACTCCTGCTCGAAGCCCTCGGCTTCAACCTCCGCAATGAGTTCCTTCTGGACCTCCCGGGCCAGGGCTGCATCACCACCATCCGAGGGTTGACCACTGCTTGACTCCACGTCGGAGATGCCTTCGTCCTCCATCGAGGGCGTCCTCGAGATATCTTGAGAATCACCCTGGGACGACATTCGCACTCTAGTTCGAGGGCTCGTAGACGGCAGTGTTTCCTAACTTTTCTATCTCCTAACCTAAGGGCACAGTACAGCTATGCTAGAAGGAGAAAGGCAGGGAGCACTGACCTCGAAAGCTGAGTTAGGACCGAAGGCTGGAGTTTCTCTCACTAGATTTTTTGGCAGAGCTTCGCTAAAACAACTGAGTTCGCACAGCGGGAATGGCTCTGGCCTTGGGGTATTTATAGGCGATGGAATCCGGGCTTGGGCCTGGATTCCGGGCCTCCGGACGGACCGTCATCATTACACACCGTCGTTTCACCCAACCGGTGACGCCGCCCACGAACAGCCAGCCATCACACGCCACGTGTGCCATCCCCCCAACGGCTATATCCTGTCGTTACATATTCCAACGGCTATATTTCCAACGGCTATATTCTGGAAGCCCCCGGGTTTTCTACTTCACTCCTCTTCATCAAGGGTAGCCTCCGGGTACACTCACTTAGAAGTGCCCCCGGGTTGTGCCCCGCACAGCACATAACAGTCGCCTTCGGGATCACTCCTTCAGAACCCGAGGCTTAATATCAGGGCGCCCCTCGGGGATTCCCCCTCAGCACTGCAAAACCGAGTAGCCCCGGGGGAGTGCCTCATTGACGGATGGCCCATAGCACACAGGTAATGGGAGCCCTCGGGTATCTCCATCACCAACTAACCAACAAACAGTGGACCCCCCGGTAACAACTCCATTGTCGCCCTCATCCAGCAGGCCCTCGATCCCCGAATTGAGGGGCTCCCCTTCGGCGCCACCAGGACATCCACAGCAAGCCTTCGGCTAATCAACACAGAAGCCCTCAGAAGAGAGAGCCTTCGGCATTCCCGCCATTCTCCATTTTTTACCAAGGTTTGACATTTTCGATTCATCATTGGGGGAATTCGGTGCACTCTTTTTCCCTCATTAGGATTTTTTCCCAAAGGGTTTTTCCTAATGAGGTTTTTAACGAGGCATCCCCCCAAAATGAAACGAAAAGCGTCAGCCTTCGGCCCACAACAGCAACGTAACTACTCTACTCCTTTTCACCACTTTACAAGTGCCTCAAGGAGTAACTGAGGGACTGCCTTCAAACAACAAAGCAAGCCCTCAAGTCCCGACATGTGGGTAACTGAGGGACTGCCTTCAGCAGGGACATAAAAGCAACAACTCCTCACCAACTTCAGAGATCACGACGGGACAACATCAAAGGGCAAGCACAAATTACTCCTTTTTCCCTCAAGTACCTTTCGGCAAAAGGAGTGAGGGACTCCTGATGGAGTATATGGCCCGGGAACCCCCGGCCCACAGACTCCTACTACCCCAGCGAAGGCCCAGGAGGCCCAGCAGGCCCAAATCACAGCGCCCGGAGTACCAGGCAGTCCGCACTGCGCGCCAGGGGTGCCTTCGGCCCCCTGGCCGAAGGCTCCAAATTCTCACATAACGGGTTTCTCAAGCAAATTAAGAAACTGGGAGAAAACGGCGAAAACAGTAGCCCTCGGCACTATGAGCCCTCGGCACTAGGGTGCCATCGGGTGGAAGAGCCCTCGGCTACTGCTCTATAGCCGAAGGCATCTCACTCGACAAGATATCCGCCTCACATGCGTACAGATCATCGTGCCCCGCACAGACGTCCCATCCAACAGCCGCATTAAATGCGGCCACATGCGGCTGCCAGCGCCAACCAGTTGAGGTGACCCCTCGGCCAATGAGCGCTTGACACGTGTCCCTGCCCGGCATTTATTGCTACTATAAATAGCACCCCATTTCCTCATTTGTAACCACGCTGAAAACGGCATTCATACTGAATACACTCTCTCTCTACTTTTATCCGCTTACTCTGACTTCTCTCCAGATTACTCCCCGTAATAACCCTTCGGATATATACCCCCGGGTAGACTATCCATCAACCTGCCTGCTGATTAAAACCTTGTGCAACTAATCGAGCTTTATGGCGCTCTAAAGATCCATCAGAATGATATTTAGTTTTATAAATCCATTTACACCCAACAATATTCTTAGAGCTATCAAAGGGCACCAAGTCCCATGTATTATTAGTAATGAGTGCATTAAATTCATCAGCCATCACCTCACGCCATTTTAACTGTTTATTTGCCTCAGTAAAACAGGTAGGATCTGCAGAAGTAATAACCGTACTTAAATTAAAAATGGCTTTAGGCTTAAAAATTCCGGACTTAGCCTGGGTTTGCATGGGATGCTGGTTAACTACCGTAGTAGACATAGGTGATATTTCGGGTGAGACATGGTCGGCTGGGGGTGTCGGGACTGTGTGGGTCGAAGACCGGTGACGGGATGAGACCGGGGATAGTGGCGGGCTGGAAGTGGGCGTGGACGGGGATGTATATGGCGATGGTGTATGCGGAGTTGTGGGAATTATGGGTGACCGAGATGGGGAGGGGAGAGGTGGTGGTCGTGCGGATGTGATTGTGGGAATAGACTGGGCCGGTGGGTCAAGAGTTATATCGGTAAGATTCATAGGAGACGGTGTAGTAGACACAGAACGTGATGGAACAGACGAGAGGGTTTTGAAAGGATAGGTGTCCTCATGAAACCTAACACATGACGGCTAACATAGACGCGACCTGTGTTAGGATCCAAACAACGATAGCCCTTATAACCCGATGCATAGCCAATAAAAACACACTGAACTGAACGAGGTGATAATTTATTAGCTGAGGTGGCTGAAAATTTTGGATAGCAGGCACAACCAAAAACTCGCATAAAGGAGTAATTTGGAACACGGTTAAAAAGTTTTTGGTACGGAGAAAAACCATTTAAGGTAGGAGAGGGTAATCTATTAATAATATAGGCAGCAGTGAATATGGCATCAACCCAATAGTTGCTCGGAACCGAAGCTTCAAGAAGCATGGTCCGAGTTAACTCAAGTAAATGACGATGCTTGCGCTCAGCAACCCCATTTTGTTGAGGAGTGTCAGGGCAAGATTTTTGAAAGTAGATGCCATTAGCAGAAAAAAATTGGTGCATATTATTATTAACAAACTCACCTCCCCCGTCACTTTGAAAAATTTTAATTTTCTGATTAAAAAGATTTTCAACCAAAGCTTTAAAATTTTTAAAGTGCATAAAAACCTCACTTTTATGACACATGGGATAAATCCAAGTATAACGAGAAAAATCATCAATAAAACACACGTAATACTTGAATCCCAAATTTGAATACACGGGTGACTGCCACACATCAGAATGAATAATTTGAAAAGAAAAAACAGAATTATGACTAGCATCCGTAAAAGGCAAACGTTGTGATTTTCCTAATCGACAAGCCACACATTCATGAGTAAATGGAGTATGACTACATAAGAATTGTCTTCGCTTAAGAAACTGTAAAATATTATCACCGCACTGACCTAATCTACGGTGCCACACAAGGTCAGAAGCTAAAACAGAAGCAAAAACTAATGGTGATGAGGACGGCAGACAGATAGGATAAAGTGGTCCACTACTGGTAGCTCGCAGAAGCACTGCCCCCGTTGCTTTGTCCTTAATCAAAAAAGAATTTTTATAAAAAATTACAGTACAGTTATTATCAACACAGAGCCTTTTAATTGAAATTAAATTATATTTTAACTGAGGCACATGATAAACAGATTTTAAAGTGAGAGGACGACCAGATGTAGGTAAAGCAACATCACCAACATTACATATGGAAAGATGGGCACCATTGGCAACACTAACAGAATTATGGCCGATGTAAGGAGATTTATTAACTAAAATACCTTCAGATGCAGTCATATGAGCAGAGGCCCCTGAATCAGGGAACTATAGAGCAGGAGTAGTGTCACCGGGAGTAGTCAACAGAGCAGGGGCGGACGGTTGTGTGAAACGAGAAGGACAATTTATTGCGGAATGACCTGCAGAAAAACAAATTTGATAGACAACAGGATGGGGAACAGACCCAAGAATACCCCCATCTGATGGCAAGCCTGCAGAACTACGGTTAGTAACACAGACAGGTAAAGCATGAACAGTTCGATCCGTGTTCCAAATTACTCCTTTATGCGAGTTTTTGGTATCAAGAGCATAGCCAATAAAAACACACTGAACTGAACGAGGTGATAATTTATTAGCTGAGGTGGCTGAAAAAATTGGATAGCAGGCACAACAGTTCATGCTGTTTATTATAAAGAGAGTTTAATTTCAAGTACAATACTAAGCCTCTAATAATTCTATTAGAAGAAAGAAGAAGAAAGTTGGAGAGGATTACCCATTTTCACCGTAGAAATAGGTGTGATTGGCGTCGATGAGGAGGGCGGCCGCCATTGATGGTGTAGGGGCTGCGTTTCATAGCAGGCAGAGTCGTTCAATCGCAGCGGAAGGGCTACAATTCCATGGCCATGAGAGAAGTTGCATATTAACGGGAATTGATTGGGAGAAAAGTCGGACGATGTTTAATACATCAGGGGCAAAAACGTAAAACTGTAGTCCTATTTGGGGAATAATAATAAACTTAATATCTTATTTAGGAATTTTGATCATGTTTTGATCCTATTTAGGGCAATTCTTTCTATAAAAAATACTTGTAATTGATAAGTTTTGGAAAACGTGGACAATTCACAATTGAATCAAGGGTTGATTCCCACAGTGGAATCAACGGTTCACCGTTGAATTGCTTCTATTTAAATGGGAACTGATTTGGAGATAAATCCGTGTAAACTAATAATGTGATTTAATGATTATTGTCTCATAATTTCATATGTCAATCCACGTTTTTTAGGAAATGGCATGTGGGGATACTTAAATTCGGTTTGTTTCCTTTCTTTTCTTTGCAAACCAACATGATTTTTACCATCATGACGAATTCACGATGATTATAAATAGCTATGTACAGCAATAATCTATCTTCAAACAGTTCAAAATTGGTACGGAGTATAAGAAATGGATGGCCCAATGAAGAAGTTAAAACATGCGCAGAGGTAACTTCAAATAACAAGTTAAAACCCGGCGAGTTCAATTGATTCATTGGCAAATTTAAAACATCGACCAAGATTCGAAACTCGTGGCGACCATGTGGAGGTTACAGCTCCAACGTACTGGATTGGACCTCTGGTACGCACAAGTATAAAGCCTACCACCATTAGGCTGACTGAGTCATCGTCACTTTCATCCTCCCAAAAATGGATGTGCGGACCCTTAGGATTGGGCAACATTTAGGAACAATAATAACTTGTTCAAAAGTTGCCAAATGCCAACTATGCAGCGCATGGACCCCGACCTGGAGCTTTCATCTTCATTTAAGAAGAAGATACCGTCACTGTTTTGTATGCAAAGTATGAATGGATGATGTACGTACGTTGAGTGAAACACGTGAAGACACCATTAGTTAGGGACACGACTTGATAGGTTCTGATCAAAGTTCAGTTCATCCGTACTCTCATCCGGTCCGCCCCATCTACATTCAAACATACCCAATTCTCTTCGTCTTGATTTGATCTGAAATATTTCATCCCTCCCATTAAAAATGACAAGGATGAAATATTTCCCCAATTGAATTGCAAACTTTAATCGGCACAAAGATTAAGAAATGACAATAAATGATACTTGCTTTTTACACTTTTGTCCATCTTTCTAAAAATAGATACCTTTAAGTTAATGGTGAAAAGTAAAAGTAAGGGTAAATTTGTCACTTTATTCTTATTTACATACCTAAAATAGAAAGTGGAAAACCATTTTGGGACAACCAAAAAAGAATATTTTGCAAATCAAATTGAGACGGAGGGAGTAATGATTTACAATAACACAAATCTTACTAAATTTGCTACGGGACAATTAGACGCTCAATGTAGTATGTAAAGTTCTAATAATCAATAAAGATGTTTGATCACATAGTCTTAATATTACATTCTTAATACTAAACAGGATAGGCTTGATGCTCAATACATGTGCATTGATGATCAATTAATAGAAGTCACAATTTTCAACTAAAGTTACAAAAGTGCTACCAACAGCACAATTTACGTTGTACAACCGGTGATATGATATACGAACTCCTGGTCCTTCTTACAAATTCATGGTAATCATAAAGTGATTTATGAGGTCTACTTTTTTGTTGACACATAACTACTCTCGAGGTCTCATTGAGATTGTATCAGCTTTCCTTTTCGATTCATCACACTAAAATTATCTCATACCAAATTTAGTAAAATTTGTGCGGTCTAAATTATTTTTTCATTATCAATTCAATATCAACCACATAGATTTATTTTTCTTAATAACCGCATTGTCTTCTGATTTCCTGATGTTAGTGGGACGAAGGTAGTACATGTTGAGGATATAAATGTATTTCAATTTGAATTTTGAAACTTTGTAAAGCTTTTGATGTAATTTCTATATAAGTAAAGTTACTTAGTAAAACAAATTTTAATTGTCTCCAGGGAAGATTTAAAATAGCTAAAGTAGCTATTTTGGAATTTTAAAATAGCTAAAGTAATCATATTCATTAAATTCAGTCTATTCAGCAAAAAATAATCCCAATGTCACATGTTTTTATTATTACGCAATTTACTGTATGAAATTGAAAGTTGTCCTCCATCTCATCCAAAGATTTTCATTGCAAAATGACCCGATTACTTAGAAAATAATTAAATATGCTAATTCGGATATATTTTGAAAAATTGTCTTGATGGTTATATATAATACAATGAGTTATTGATGATAACTGGAATGTTATAGATGTATTGTTTTTAATATCCGGTGGATAATTTATTAATTAATTGTCTTAATTGTTTCCTAAAATACAAACTGAATCCCTTTAGCTGGAATGCCCAGAAAAGGAAAGTGAGAACCTTTAAATGAAACAGAGAGACTATAATCAATTGGAAACATGAGTTATCAAATGGGCTCTAATCCTTCCTCCTTCCACTTGATGATATCGTCTCTTTGTTTCATTTAAAGGTTTTCAATTTCCTTTTCTGGACATTCCATTTATACAGCATTAGACAACAGTACCCTACTGCCCCGTGCCCTTAAACGGCTGTTCCCCTTGCCCGATTCCGAGTCCTGCCTTACGCGACTGCGCCATCCAGTCCCCCTACATGCTGGCTGAATCGTGGTCTTCTGATTTTCAGGTACATATTTTACTTTTAGCTTTATTTGTGTTGTATTTTATTTAGTTCAACTTTATGCCTTTATATCTGGAATATGAGAGTTTTGTTATTGTGATATCCTGATTCAGAAAGGTTGCTCCCTAGATTTCTGGAATTTAATTGTTGCGAACTTTTAGGCTGTTGTAAATTCTAAATTCAGCTTTACTCCGAGGAATTGTGATCTGTTACTTAATGTGAAAATTGTTACTTGTTTGAGTTCAGATTTAGACCAGTAATTCAATACAGTTGAGGTTCTTATAAATTTTGAATTCTGAAATCTCGAATATCCCTTGATTGTTTACTACCAATTGTTTACCTAGGGATTCTCGGTAAACTATGCATGAATAATACTGGTCTTTGGAAATTTTTTATGTATCCCTCCTCTACCATACATTTTTTTATATGGTGAATGTAACTAGAGTTGTTAAAGGTGGGAAAATTGAGCATAATTGCTTTGCTATATCAATGAAAGTCAGAAAATCTCAAAGTTCAACATCTAACCTAGAGCCGGTCAACATGAGAAGGTTGTACTTCCCCTCAACTAGTGAGTAGATTTGCTAGTGTACTTTTAAAGGTTAGTGTTGATTTCAAATTAGTGTTATATTGATAACATTTTCATTGCAGGCGTAGTTCATGGAGATAATAATTAGTGTGAGAAGATGAATTAGGGGAGAATTTCCCAAATGGGACTAAAACTTGGTTAAAACTCCAAAGTGGGACATTAAGTTTTTTATTACCTAAATAGGACTTTTAATTACCGATCGGATAAAATTACCCTTTCTTAGTTCCTGCTGCAACAATTCACTGGGTGCGATGAAGGTCGTTTGCGAGTTGCATGCACAGATGAACGGCTCCCCAGGTAAGTTTCTTCCGATCTTTTTCTTGTACTCATCTCTTAATTTCTTCTCAAGCTCCCTTGTTTTCTTCTTCTAAGGTTTGCTATTTTCTTCTTCTTTTGGATTTCCAAGTTTTTATAATCCTGAGTAATTTATTTTTAAAAGATTCATATTATTGTTCTAATCACTTCAATCTGAAAAATGACATAGTTGATCTTTAATTGAACACTGATTTCTAATAATGTCACTTTCATGACATTACATTTGCTAAGGTGACAATTTCAAAGAAGAAAATGACATTTCCAGAGTAATAATGTCACTTTCATGACATTTTCAAAACAAAAGTGACATTTTCAGATTGTCATCCTATTAAATAAACTGTCACAAACGTGACATTTTTTCCAAATAACCAATAATTTTGACATTCTCGGATTATAAAAGTGACATTTTGCTGAATAAATAAATTCAAATCCAAATAGTCCAAATTAATAAATAAAATTCAAATCCAAAAAATTTAAAGAAGAGAACAGAGGACCAAAAATTTGAAGAGGATTAGAAGAAGAAGAAGAAGAAGAAGAAGAAGAAGAAGAAGAAGAAGAAGAAGAAGAAGAAGAAGAAGAAGAAGAAGAAGAAGAAGAAGAAGAAGAAGAAGAAGAAGAAGAAGAAGAAGAAGAAGAAGAAGAAGAAGAAGAAGAAGAAGAAGAAGAAGAAGAAGAAGTGGAAGAAGAAGAAGAAGTGGAAGAAGAAGAAGAAGTGGAAGAAGAAGAAGAGGTGGAAGAAGAAGAAGTGGAAGAAGAAGAAGAGGTGGAAGAAGAGGAAAGGAGGGGGAGGAGGATACCTATGGTCGATGGCGGAGCTACGGTGCGACGTCATAGCCGATGGCGGAGATGCAGTCCACAGGAGGAAGAGATGTGCAGAGCTGCGGCTACAAAGGATTCCAATCAATGGCGAGAATGCAGTGACGAGTGCAGAAGGGTTAGAGCTATTTGGGGAAAAGGTGATTTAGGGATTAGGGGCAAAAAGGTAATGTGGAGTCCCATTTAGGAAATTTAAAACTTGAAGTCCTATTTTGGAGTTTTAGCCATGTTTTAGTCCCATTTAATATAATTTCTTAAAAAAAAAGATGAATGAGGAAATGAGAACAAGAGAGACGAAAATGATGGATTCAACGTGAATTAATTAAGATGCATAAAAGGAAGAAAAAATATGGCGAAGCAATGTCAAATAATATAATACGCATATGTATTAAATCAAAACATTTGACTGGGTTACATATTAATTGTGATACTTATATGTTATTTGTGTTTCTTTTTGTTGCATCGCACTTATTTCTTTTTGTTGTAATATGTTGCTTTTTATTGCAATGTGTTGCTTTTTGTTGAACGGTATGCGTTGCTTTTTGTTGCAACGTATTGCTTTTTGTTGTAACATGTTGCTTTTTGTTTTAACATGTTACTTAATGTTGTTTATATTTGATTTTAATTTTTATTTATATTTTTACTCATATCTGATGCTTATTTGCAATAAAATGTTATATTATAGATTTATATACAATCATCTAAAATGATTAATTTAGATTTATGAATACAACCTACAACAAGAAATATGAAGAAACAATAAAAAAC